TCAAATTTGTATCACGATAATCAGGTCTAAAGATGTGCCATGCACGGTACTATACGTACTCAGCAATTGTATGTAATTATACTTATTAAAGGTACGTACTGCAAATCTCTGGGCAGATCATTTGTTACAAGCTCATGATTTAGTGTACGATTTTTATTCAGATTCTACAAGGGTTTAAAACCTATAATGGCTATAATGGTCAATTTTTCACATATCAGATATCTATATACGTACGTACGTACCTACCACAACATGACAAAAGACCTCGTTCATATCACTCTATCATGATCAGCATGTCTACTAATGCTTGGAATTTTGTCAGTCAATTAATTATTTTGAAATGAGATAATAATAGAATGATTTTCTTGTACATCGCCAAATATGCGACTCCACTGACATATTCGACATACGCATTCACAAGTCGCATCAAAAATTTGGTTATCTATTTCTAAATTCAGACATATCTTGTAGTAATCATTAGAATGTAAATGCTTAGGTATTCTATCACTATCGCTATATCTAAAAAAAAAAAAAAATCTGATTCTTTGTTTATAAAAATAAACGTTTCATTATTCAACCCCATAGTTCCATTTTAATTTTTATGGTTATTTGATTATCTTAATAGTGACATCGTAGCCATCGTAGCCAACAAAATCTTTTTTATCGATAAAACTTTTCCTTATCGTTAGGATGAATTAATTTCCATAAGGTTGCTAAGTATTATACTATAAAAAAAATCAAATATATATCTTTCTAAATTGATACTCACCATTGATATAATAAGACAAGTATTAAATATTTAGTGTTCGTCTGCTATCTTTATTCTTAATTTTCGCATGGCAATATGCATTTAATCGAAAGTGTGAATATGTGACACTATAGTAATCGATTGGACATTTAAAAGTAGGACAGTGAAAAAAAAAAAACCTTCATTGTTAATAAGGCTACTAATACGTATTTATCAATGTTGATCAATCAATTGTTGTACAAAACACAAAAAAGGAGGATAAAACCTGATTCACATGGTAATGATGATCTCATTACTTTCATTTCGTTAACTAATATATCATATAATGTCTTCTAATATCTCAGCAGGTAAAGAAATTTAAAGTTGCTTTTGTAATAAGCATAGGTTAAGTGTTATTACAAGTATGGGTCGATATATTATAAAATAAATAACATCAAAAAATTTTAACAAAGCATACAAAAAATTAACACTGACATGAACTATTTAAATTATTTGCATAACCACAATTCATCAACTTTTTTATATTTTTTCAAGATAATATCAAAACAGGTTATCTTGTTTTTTATAATGCCGCCTCTTGTGCTGGCTGGTTCTATGTTCTTGTATTGATTTTAACCGAGTTGGTGCAAAATGGTGATCTTACAACGGTCTATGATCGAGCTGGATGGGTTTTGATGATTGTACAAACTGGCGCTATTTTAGAGGTATATTATTTTAGTTGTAGTTGTGTGGCAGAAATATTTTGTAAACTAATTAACATATCGTACTTTTTTAAAAAATAGTTAGTTCATGTTATATTAGGTAAAAATTCCATTTATTGTATTATTTTTGTAATTCGAAGAAACAAAAAAAAACAATATCTAATAGATCCTTCATTAATTTTCTATTTTTGAAAGGTTTCGTGAGATCACCACTCCTAACCACAGCGTTTCAAATTGCATCCCGTTTATTTTTAGTTTGGGGTGTAGTTGATATTTTTCCAGAGGTAAATGTTTATTACACCATCCATATCTGTATCACGATTGTCATTATTTCGCTACTTTTTATTCAGTAATTTATATCGTTTTGATTACCTAAAGGTTCAATCACATTGGGCATTCACAACCATGACTATTGCATGGTCAATCACAGAATGTGTAAGATATTCTTATTACGCATTTAATCTGGTTGGATTACAGCTTTATTCCCTTTTATGGTGCAGGTATATTATTAATTTGATTCATTTAATTGTTTTTTTCCTATTTTTATTATCTATTTTACATTTATTTGCTTATTATAAACCTTTTTTTGATCTTTTATTATTAGATATACGTTTTTCTTTGTTTTATATCCTCTTGGAGCAGGAAGTGAATCAATATTAGTTTATGAATCACTTCCTTATTCTAAACAATTGAGCGTAATTTATTATTGGCTTCAAATTGTAATATTAGTCATATACGCACCAGGTATTCATATTGTTGATGATCCATTGATTTAAAATAACACAATATTTCAAACTATTTTCTTGCTATTGTCTAGCTATTTTCTAACTATTTTCTAATATATTTATTTTTAGGCTTCTATATGTTGTATACTTATATGATTGGACAACGTAAAAGATATCTTGGCAAAGGCAAAGACAAAGCACAAAAAGTTGATTAGTTTATTTAATTTCAATTTTTTGAATAGCTAAAATTATTAAAATAGTTCTAATTTTGGTTATATCACAAGAAATTGAATTTTCTAATTAAAAATTTAGTATATTCCGTTTGTTTATCTTTATTAGCATCTTATCATTTTATAAATGTAACTCTAGTTTTCAATTATTCTTTTGAGAAGAATCATTTTGGTTATTAAAATTAGTTATAATTTATTATAAAAATTTAGATATATAATTCAATATTAACCAATATAATTGTTTTTTTTTTAAAGTTATTAACATATATAGTTCCGGAATCATTAACTTGAATCGTTATTGAAATCATAATCTGTTAAGCTTACAATATAGTAGAATAATTATAATTAATCAATGCAATTACATAATGATTAATTTGTTTTGATTTTTAATAAACTATTGGGCTATTTTATTTTCTTTGAATTTGGAGAATTTCGTATT